AATGCCACACAACATACACAATGAATACATTCCAGGAATCTAGGTTCTTGACAATACAAAAGTACCTAAAATGAAAACGTGTGGTGAACTTGTTCAAACATAGTTACCATATGACACTACATTCCACTTTCTATGACAATAAACTGGTGGTGAACTTTTTCAAACATAGATACCATTACATCCAACACAATTCAACTATGATAGCTTGAATACATATTTGTTGCAAAGCACAGAAATACAGCCAACCCTATGACAACGAGCTTCCTGCACCTCTTTCTGGCCTTAACCTCATTCTCAAGAACGGTTTTTATAGTGGTTACATCTGCTTGAACATGGCTTAAGTGTTGGACAACACCTTCAACCATGGTCTCAAGAACGGTTTTTATAGTGGCCCTTCCCACGCACATCGGCGCTTTCAATCCACACCAACAGTACACTGCAGGCTCGTAATTTGTAGTGCTTCTTCGCTCTTTTGTACTCGTTGCTGTAGACGAGGAGGCCATTGTTGGTCACGAGTCGACGGTGAGAAGTGGATGACCAGCGTCGAGGAGTGCTAAGTCGCAGAGCTTCGAATTAAGGTCGTGAATTAGGGCACGGTGTGGTGTTGATTGGGGGTGGATAGTGGAAGTAAAATGATTTAAGTGAGTCGCCACTGAAAGACCGATAGGAAAAGTCCACGTCAGCGCCAGGAAGGCAAGGAACGGGTAAATCGGGAACCAACCGGTAATGTAGACCTAATTGATTGATTTTGAAGACTTGGCGGATTCAATTGATGGTTTTCGAAGTAGGAGGGCTCAATTGAGGGTTCGCCCATAGTACGAGGGTGTAATTGACAGTTTTCCCTAGAAAAAATGGCACGCATATGACAGCCAAACTTTCCATTTCCAAAAACATAACTCTTTTAAATTATTCCAAAAATATGACATCCGCTTCACATCTGCATCTGCTTCTTTCGCTTCTCTCTGACCCGCATCTTTCTCTGCATCGAAGACGCGACAAACCATCTGCAAGAGGTCATCATCTTCATCGCCCAAAGCCTCGCCATCACCGCCAATCGTCACCTACTCACCTACGAGACGTCACCCCATCTCGCCAGAGGTCTTTACATCGTTGCCGCATTCGTTCATCACTGCATCGGCGCCGCCTTCCTTCATCATTGCATCGCTGCCGCCTTCGTTTATCGTTGAATCTCCGCCTCCTTTGATTGTTTCTGCATCTGCCCGACTCCGATTTGCATTTGTAGTTATGGATCTAGGTTTCTGGTGGTTCGAGGGATCAGATCAGGGGCCGGCTGAGCAGATCTGGGCGGCCACTTCAGTGGCTACAACAGCTGGGCCTGAGATTAAGGGGCAGGGCAAGGGTTTTCCGTCAAGTCTGGGCTGGTGGGGTGGTGGTCGCTTTCGACAATGGCAGTGTAGTGGGTTCCGACGGGGTTTGAGGCGGTCTGAGACGGTCTGTGGCGGGTTGCTGAGGGCTAGTCAGGAAGGGAGAGGGTGCTGAAGGCAGATGGGGCAGGTCTAGTGCATCATGGCAAGGGCTGGGGTGGGGCTCATGGGTAGTGGGAAGGACCGATAGGCATGGGGTGGGGCTGGGTGGACTGGTAGGCATGGGGGGTGGGGATGGGTGGACTGGTGGGGTTGGGGCTGACTGCTGTAGGACAGGGGTGATTGTGTTTGGGGCAGAAGGGGGTTGGGGAGGTGGCTGTGGGCTAGGGACTGGGGAGGTGACTAAGAGTGGGGAGTCAAACGAGGGGTGGGGTGGGGCGGGCGGTGACAACCCTCATTGGCAGAGGGTGCAACAGCAGTTACTGGCAGGGTTTGGACAGGCAGTCACTATGGCTGGTGGGCGGGCAGTGGCCGGTGGATGTGCAATCACTGTGACCGACGGAGTCACTGTAACGGCGTGAGTCACTTTGAGCGTAGTCAATGTGATTGGTTGGACAGTCACTGGTCCATGGGGAAATCACTGTGACGCCAGAGTCACTTTGACCGGAGTCATTGTGACCAGAGTCACTGTGACCGGAGCAACGACGGTGGCGGTGGTGGTTAGGAGTGGGCATGAAAAACCGTAACCGCTTAACCGCGGTAAATAACCGAGAAATCGGAGTTTTTTGGTTAACCATACCATGTTTTTAAATGCTTATGGTACGGTTAACCAACCGAAAGAATAAAGTGGTTCACGGTACGGTTACGGTTTTGAAATTAAATACCGCCAGTTAACTGACAATCCAAAGTTAAAAAATTATTCCAAATTCATGTCATAGTCAACTTTAGTCGAAACTCGAAAGTGTTTTTTTCCATTTAGTATATATAAATTGAAGTACCGATCGATGATTATTTAATTGATTTACTGAAATATTAATACAAGCCATCAACCTAGAGGATGGCAGTGCGTGAAATGCATATGGCATAGTAGCAACAACTAACCGACTACCTTTCACACATTCATACTTGAGTCAGGTAGTGATAATGTACAAGGATTAATTACCTACATGAATTGCAAAATGAATTAATAATTGAAAACAATTTTCAAGTCTATTAATTCCGTATGTATACTATGCGCATGCACTAAGATGGAACCCAGGTCGTTAGTACTTAGTACTACATATCTATTAACGGTTTCCTAAGAGGTTAAGACGGTTTTTCGGTTAACCAATTAATGGTTAACCAATACCGTGGTTAAATATTACTCGGTTAACCGTCATTGCGGTACGGTCAATGATATTATAAATATATAAATCGAAATCTCGATTAACCGTAAATCGGTTAACCAAACTATGGTTAACCAACCATGCCCACCCCTAGCGGCGGTGCCGCCGGCGGGGTCAGCGGTGCGGCTGCAAAGGAAGAGGGGTTTTTAGAGGTTCGAATGTATGGAACAGGGTGTACTACGAAAAGGTGAAGAGCCGATGGATACTCTAGAAATCCAGAGGTTAAGAGGGTGTATCGAGAGTAATGGGGTGAGTTCGAGGAAATGGGGAAGATATGGCTAGGGTTTGGGCTGGGTATTATTGTTGGATCCGAAAACTGGTTGGGCTTGGTATTATTGTTAGATCCGAAAACTGGCTAGGCTGGGTTATTATTGTTGTGGGCTGGGTAATAATTCTGAAGGATTGTAATTAATAGGTTGGGTTGGATCACAATATTGGGCGAATTTGGTCTGAAATTTAATGGAATTGACTCTGATTTTTTAAATGTGAATAAATTTATTATATACAAAATTCATTGTATATGCTTAGTTTGGAACATATATATTTATTTTACAAGCTTTAAACGTACTTGCAAGAGTGTGTGCGCAATCCTAGCTCTAACTCTTGATGTGGTGAATGCAGTTAATGGATACATGATACCTTTGAATGTTAACAAATAGTCAAGGACATATTTAAGTTCAGATAGCATTTGCAAGTCAGAATCAAACACAGATTTTTTGACTATATTGCGTACTCCAGAATTTCTCAATAAAATACGTGCATCTAGAGTTCCTAACCATGAGTTAGTTCTTAAGGTTGGTACTTCGACAATGCTTTCAAGAAATATTGATCCTTCAATGGGACTATGCAATGAAACAAGGTTGATTGTTACCCAGCTTGAAAATCACATCCTTGGAGCAAAAAATTTAGATGGAAATTATATTCACCATGAAGTTGTCATTCCAAGGTTAAGTTTGATTCCATCTGATGCAAGAGTACCGTTCAAGTTTCAAAGAAAACAATTTCCTGTTATTACCTCTTATGCGATGACAATAGATAAGAGTCAAGGTCCATCTTTGACGCATGTTGGACTCTTATTAAAAAACAGTGTTTACAACTGGTCAATTGTATGTTGCAGTATCTAGAGTGACAAATTGTGAAAGTTTAAAAATATGATTTGCAATGAAGATGGGAAAAAGAAAGACCTTACTACAAATATTGTTTACCATGAAGTGTTTTGAAATGTTCAGTCTTGGTAAATCTTATTGTATGCTTTATTTCTCCCTGATTCGAAATCAGAAATACTATGAATTATGAGTGATAAGTATCTTTTGCTTAATAATAATTATTTGTCTATTACATCTATACGGTTTGCATGATTTATACATTCACTGGTAATGTTATTAAGTAACATAGTATAACTATACGTTAATATATGTCCCGTGCATCGCACGGGTGAAAATCTAGTTCATACTTGAGTCAGGTAGTGATAATGTACAAGGATTAATTACCTACATGAATTGCAAAATGAATTAATAATTGAAAACAAATTTTAAGTCTATTAATTCTGTATGTATACTATGCGCATGCACTAAGATGAAACCCAGGTCGTTAATACTTAGTACTACGTATCTATTAACGGTTTCCTAAGAGGTTAAGACATTTTTTCGGTTAACCATTAATGGTTAAATATTACTCGGTTAACCGTCATTGCGGTACGGTCAATGATATTATAAATATATAAACCGAAATCTCGGTTAACCGTAAATCGGTTAACCAAACTATGGTTAACCAACCATGTCCACCCCTAGCGGCGGTGACGATGGCGGGGTCAACGGTGCTGGTGGCTGCAATGGAATATTATTAAAATAAAAAATGTATTATTAAATAATAAGATTAAATGACTTTTAGTCACTTTTTTGAAAAAATTTAAAAAAAATCACATTTTTGTCTTTTTCATTTTTTTTAATAATATTGAAATAAAAAGACCGAACATGTAGAATTTCTCTGAAAGAACAAAAAAGGAAATGGAATTTATTAAAGGACGAGGAAGGGCACAACGCTACACTAAAAGGGAGTGTATACTGTATACACACTCCGTATTAATTTGACGGGATTCTTGAATTACACTTATATCCTGTGTGATTTGTTACGTTTGGCCACACGGGTGCATAAAAAGGCAGACCTTGATAAATGATAACGAGTACAAGCACAGGGGCAAAGTAGTCATTCTGTTCCGAGTCTCTCTCCGTCCTACAGGCGGTACGGTGGAGGATTACTATTATCTCGCTACGTGCCAGACGCGACTGCTATCGTCAGGGGCGATAATGGTCTTTTCCGGTCACACGTTTTCACGCTTCGCGTTTCACTCCCCCCTTTCTGGTTTTCTTTGATATCGTCTTTCTCTTTCTCTCTTTCTCTCTTACTCCGAGCTTCCAGAAATACGATACGGTGCCGTCCTTACTCCAGTTCATACATCTCTGAGAGAGAGAACCACAGCTTCACTTGTTCTTCCTATAGTGGTAAGTTTTCAACCAGTTTTATCCTTACTTCGAGTTTCCTTTTCAGGAACTAGTTTGTTTTTCGTATTTTTTTGGTGATTTTTTAAGGACCGTGACTATTATGCGATGCTCGCTTTGTTTATTTCATCTAGAATACGAATGTTTGTTGAATGATCGTGCCTACAATATGTTATTCTGCCGCCTTCTCCGGGCTGTATTAGAATGCAGATACTTTTAAATAGGCATACACATTTGTTTGTACATATAAATGTTGAAAATAAGGTGGTGTTATGACTGCAGATTAGTGTACCATAAAGGCATAACAGTGCGGGCTTGTATGCGCAGATATTTATCACAGTGGGCCAGATATTGATGTAGGGTTTTTGAAATTTTGAAGGGAATAAAAACGAAGTGAAACTTATTTTTTCAGATTTTTGGTATTTGTTTGTGTTTTAGCTTGTTAAATTAATCACTTATGAAGTGTATAATGAAGTGTGATATTTTGCAGGGAACTGATTGAATGGGTTCTAAGAAGAAGAATAAAAACCAGACACAAAAGGAACAACCGACCCAACCATACAACTGCAGTGTACCTGCTCGTAACTTACCGAAGAGTGATCTTGGAGCGGTCATTTTTGGCTGTAAAGGCCATACAATTGACGAATGCTTTTCCAAACTCTTATTTGGTTTTTCTCTTTCACTGTCTCTCTTTCATGCATTGTACTTTTCCACCAAGTTTTTTTTGCAGAATTTGATAGTTATGTTAGTCTGGTATAATCATAATTAGTAATAGGTGATGTGTGCATTCCTGTACTGTATATACAAGCATGGAATTATATAGGCATTGAGTTTCATCAATATGCTACTCATTATAATTTCTACAAAATCTGATGTGATTTTGGTTTTGTTTTTGTTGGTCAGGACTGCCATTTGGACATTTTGCATATGTCAAGAAGGTTAGTCCTGGCCTTCCGCTTTTTCTTTTTAACTACAGTGATCGGAAGCTTCTGGGAATATTTGAGGCTGCTGGCCCCGGAAAACTAAATATTGACCCATATGCATGGACCAATGGCACTGACCATGAAACAGAATTTCCTGCACAGGTGGTAACACGGTTAAACCATTTGTGTAGAGTAGTCCTAGAAAGGCATCATAATTGGATATTAGTAGGAGACATTCCAAAGTGGTATATCCGTACATATATGTTTGGTGACTCGAATGTCATAAAATGAATATGTAACACATGGAAATATCTCTCTACAATGTCCAACTTTAATGTCTCCCTAGTGTTACTGTTTGTTGTACTTATATATACAATTCACTACAGCAGTACGACACACATATGACATAGCTGCAAATACTCATCTTACCATTCTGTGTCTTTCAAGGTGAAAATTAAAACGTTCAAGAAGTGCTATGCTTTGAAAGAAGACCAATTTTACCCTGTCATTGCTGATAACTACTATGATCAAACTCAGCCACACTATTTTTGGTTTGAGATGGACCATTCTCAAACAGCTAAGATGATCAATTTGTTTTTGTCTTCATCTCTTCCTTATGCTCACCCGTATCATCACCATAAACCTACAACTGAAGCCATCTGTTCTATTCCAAACAACATTTATAATGCTCCTTTGCCTTATGGCGGTAAACCGCACAGTGCACCTACAAGTGAAGCTCTTCCACAAAATGATGCCCATGCTTCCTCTGAACAGAAAACATGGAGCTCTCTGTTCAAATATGATACATCCTCTGATATGGTGAACAAATATGAGCTTTTGAAGATCGCGTCTTCACGTCCAACTTCACCCTTGTCAGAGCATTACAATGGTGGAGAATGGGAGTCTTGTACATCACCTTCAATAACCAAAAGTGAACTCCATGAGGTATGTGAAGAGGAGATTGAGGGAGATAAAGAAAGTATTCATCCATTTATTGAGGCTCCCGGAGTCTATTCTGGCGAATGGGAGGTAGAGGAGGTTGCAGGAGATGCAGACAATATTCCATCATTTCTTCAGGCTCCTGAATATTCAGTGGACGGGAGTTCTTCAACCGAACTGAATGGGATATGCGCAGAGGAGGACAGTGATGAAAGATATGAAGAGCCATTTGTTGAAGCTCCTGATATTCTATCAAGGGTAGCTCCAGTTATCCTTTATAGTTTCATCTAGATATCATCTCTTTTAATTCATATAACTGTTATTTTTTATTTGAAGCTGATGCAAGAGGTTCACTTACTGAAGGAGAGGCAAATGAAGCAAGAAGAAAAAATTCAGACTCTTGAGAAGGAGCTGGTATGTGTGTTTGAGATTTAAGAGCATCAACTTTCCGCTTATTATTAAACATCCCATCTTTCAAAGGTTTCATTCAACTGTAAAATATTTTGGTTTCTTTACGTTAGTTCTTTCTGCCTACTGATCTACTCTTGTTTGAACATTGTTTGGAAGGTTTTTTGCATAACTTATAATAGTTTAGGAAGCCTAACCAGGACAGGTAGGCTGAAGGAATGTGCTCTATCCAATCAAATTGAATGAATGTATATGAATGGCATTTTATAAAATAACCTTCATAGTTTTCTTCTTGGGGGAAAAAGAGTAAAGACGAAGTGGATAAAAGATAAGCAAAAATAAAAGAGGCATCACAATATATGAATTTTGATCCTGAGCATTTTCTTTCTCATTATATGAACAATCCATATCCATGACTTTGTAATTAAAAATTAGTTTCCTTTTTGTAATCAGGTTCAGTCAAGAGATGAACTTCAAAAGTTACGAAATCAGCATCATGCATTGGAAGCAACCCCATTGCCTTCAAGCCAACAGTTTGAAGGATATTATTGTGAAACACTTAACTGCTCTGATAAGATGGACAGCCATGTGCTAGTAGTTGGAGGGTTTGATGGTTCTAATTGGTTGCCTTTTATGAGTTCCTACTCTCTTTTGAATGATCGCATGGAGTCCGTCACCAAGATGACGTTTCCGCGTACATATTGTTCTGTAGTAGATTTGAATAGTGAGGTTTATGTATTTGGTGGCATGTATGGTGAGGTGTGGTATGACACAGGTATAACATCTCATTTTACTTCTTTTGTTTTGCATATATTTACTTTAAGTTTTGCTTATGAAATCTCTTAACACTTTTAAACATTTAGTCGAAGCATATAATCCTGGGAGAAATGAGTGGTGCAAACGACCCTCGCTAAATCGCAAGAAAGGAAGTCTGGCTGGAGTATCTTTGCATGGCAAAATTTTTGCAATTGGTGGGGGAAATGGTGTGCATTGTTTTTCAGAGGTGGAAATGCTAGATTTGAACATTGGAAAGTGGTTGCATTCTAAATCAATGATTGAGAAGGTATGAATAATCCATCTGATTTTTTTACCCTCTAATTCTAATTTGGTGAAGTTTCATAACTGTTTGTCCATGTAATTGGAGTCCGTTTAGGAAAAGGTTAAAGCACTTCATAAGCATTATGGTGGTTGGTATATTGAAGTAAAAATAAATTTATTGAAATGGTTAGGTTTTATTTGAGTTTAAATCACTTCTTTTAAACTAAAATATTCATCTTTTAAACTAAAATACTAAAGTACTTAATTTCTAATTTGTCAAAGTACTTCTCACAAGTCATACTAAACAAGCACTCAATGATCAATGCACTATGCCTGGTAGCTCAGAAGCATTCATATTCTTACATTTTAGAAGTTTGTTTATTTCTGTTAGTTGGTAGTTGCTGATTTACTCTTTCCTTCCAGCGCTTTTCAACAGCAGCAACAGAAATTAAGGGTGCACTCTATGCAGTTGGTGGCTTTGATGGAAATGCTTATTTAAAGTAAGATCCATTATGATATGCTGAGCTTTCAAATGCTTGCTTTGACTTTTTTCCTTAGCCTGCCCACACTTTTCTGAAATGTTCTCATGTTTCCCAAACCAAGTTTCTGAAACCCAGATTCTACTCGTGTTTTTTCAATAGTCTTCTGGAACATACCCCATTTGAACTATTAACATTTTTTCTCAGTAAACTGCTTTTTATGACTTATAGTGCTTTTCTTTTGGCATGTAAAGATCTGCTGAAAGATTTGATCCAAGGGAGCATACATGGAGAAAATTAGGTGACATGAAGACGAGAAGAGGGTGCCACTCTTTGGTTGCTTATAATGAGAAATTGTAAGTTCTCATTTCGTAATTATTGTTTGGTTGAAGTGTAAAGAAAATGTACTTCTTGCATCTAAAGGGTGCGATTATTGGATTAGTGTTACCACTTTTCGTAATTATTGTTTGGTTGGAGTGTAAATAGAATGTACTTTTTGCATTCTAAAGACCGATGTCAGGAATTGGATAAGTAGGACATATAGGGCTTGTATGCTTTCAGTCTTTAGTTTTTGGTTTCATGGTTTTAAAAGTTGCATGTATAGTTTGTATAGTGAACTTAAAAGTAGTACTCCGTAATATGTTACGGGCGTGGTTGGGGGAGATAAAAAGAAGATTAATCACTAAGATGAAGAACTTCTACGCCCTAGGCAAGAGAAGGTGGCATTCAACTTTGTCAAGAGTCTCAGGAATAACTCCAAATATCAGTAATTGTCAACTCTTTTCTTTTTACATATTTCTCGGCCACACAATTCCATTGTTTAATAAGCTCAGCAAAAGCAAATGAGAAGTTAATTTGTGGACTTGTGAAATGTGAATTAATATTTAGTGAACTTTTCCATGTCTAATCCACAGCTGTATAATTCAACTAATAAAATGCTACCAAACAGATATGCACTTGGCGGGTATGATGGAGACCGAATAGTCCCAAGTGTTGAAGTTTTTGAGCCTCGTGTTGGTTCCTGGACAGTGGTGGATCAGATGAAATATTGTAGAGGCAACTTTGGAGCCGTTGACATTGGCGGGAAGATATATGTACTTGGAGGGTTGACCAATGGGGATGATGTTCTAGATACAGTAATATCATACCTTCTTTTCCTTTTAAGGAAATTGTTGTGTTTCGAATTCATTCTTTCTTTTCTTGTTTTTGAAGGAATAATTCTTTCTTTTCTAAATAAATTTTAATCACATAATTTTGTATTAATGTTAGTCTAAAAAACAGTGCAAATACTAATGATATATAGGATAATTGTAGTATTAATGTATTAATATTGCAAATATTAATAATTTTTTCAATGTTTAGTAATAATAATAGTATTAGTGACACTAATAATATTGGTTATTATTAATAGTAGTAATTTTAACATTGTAATTGTAGTCATAATTACAATAACATTGTATTATGTGAAAACCTGATCTAGGACTGAAATGAGTCCAAGAGAATATGCTCTAAATCTAGTCTTAGCGCACTATCTTTACCCTATTATCAGAAATAATTAATTGAAGTGATTCTGAGTGGAATTTATGTAAAGTTTTTCATTTGTTTATTCCTCATTCTTGATCCTGTATTGTATATTTTATCCACGTCTCCCTTGAAAATGGCAGGTGGAGTGCTATGATGGCTACGAGTGGAAGCCTACCAACCTTAGGGGTTTGGGGAAGCGATGTTTTTTCTCATCCCTTGTGTTGTGACTGCTGTGCAGCGTCCCTGGTTTCTAGGAGATATATATTTTGCAAATGATGATGATGATGACGATAATGGCATGGTATAAAAATTACATGTGACTAAGAAAGCATGAGGAAGTTGCTTAGGATGGGTTGTAGTTAATTTACCCCAGTGCATATAGGGTAGTTGAGAAGGATAGAAAGCTAATTTGATGTAGGTGACATGCAAAAGAGACAATATTCCTTGGCTGTATGTTTTGTCACACCATATGATTTCATTACCATGCGATTGATTACTTTACAATTTGTGGTCACTGTGACAGTACCTGTTGTCTCTTATGGCCTTTTCTTTTCCATCTGATTTTGGTTCAAATGGCAGTACGCGAAATCCATCCATCACGGGTCTTGCGTAGTTGTGTGCTGGCATCCCAATCTTATAGGATTCGAACAATATTCTGAAGGGGTTAGATTCAAGTACACAATTGAGGTTAAGCTTTACCTGAAATTTTGGAAAATTTAGATGGGATCTGGTCCCGTTTTGGTCAGGTTTGGTTTCTGTTCTAATCCCTGATTGGTTTCATTTTGACTTTTTTTTACTCCACAGGGCGTCTGGGGATGGGGGATGGGGTAGCTTGGAGTAATATAGGCTGAAATTCACTTCATTGAGTTTCGAACCCGAGACCTCCCATAAGAGAGGGTGAGTCGGCGACCAGCTGGGCTGGACCGCTTCCTCGATTTCATTTTTACTTATATAAAAATACATGATTAGTAACTGGTATGGATTTATTCTGATAGATCAATATTGTAGTTGGTGAGTTGGTCTGGATCATTTTCTGCTACTGGTCTTGACAAGTGCTATATGCCTATAGTCTCTTGCCAAGAAATTGGTTGGTCCAGGTCTGATTTCTGGCATTTCTCGTTATATATTGCCTTAGTTAGCTATCATCTTTTCTGTCTAAACGTACAAAAAATCATTGGAGAATGAAAAAACACTTGGAAGACCATAAAAACTAGTGTATTGCATTTTGCAGTGAGCTTAAATAGGAATGGACTTGGACCGGGTTAACTGGTCCGTAACCGACCCGAAGGTATTGTTATGGTGCGGACCGGCCCGGTACCCAGTTCTATACCCAGTTCGGACCACTCGGCCTGGCGCGGACGCCGCGCGGTAGAGGGGCGGTTCCCGGGCCTCCCAAGTCCCAAATCACGAACCGGCCCGGCCGGTTCGGGTCTGGTTCGAGCCAATTATTTTTTCTTCACATTTTTTAAATGGTAAATGGGTTGAGCTGGATGTTTTGGAGAGGTGGGGGTGGGAGTAGGAAGTAATTAGAAAATAAAAAAAAAGGGTACCCGACCCGGCCCGGTAACCGCCGGGTGAACCGGCCTGACCCGGGCCTGGAGCTACCCGGGTTGGTTTCCGGGCCTCACTTCTCCAAAAAAAGCCCGGTCGGAACCGGACCCCGGCCTGGCCCGGCCTGAATCGAGTTCATGCCTAAGCTTAAAACGTTCTGAAAATACTTTTCCGTGTTGAATAATTGAAACTTGAAATTAGTTGGATCCACATTCAATGTCTTTAATTTTAAGTCACAGTGATGATATTGAAACTTGAAAGTAACAACGATTCAATGCATGTGCTGAAAGTCCGATTCAGAACACATCCCGAAGTCTAAGACAAGTTCTGGTTGTTTGGATGTAGGGTTAGGTCTTGACCACTTCAAGTTCTAGACTCAGTCTTGGGTAATATTAATTGGTACTAGTGGAACTAGAACTTTGATTAGGTAAGCTACTTCTCTTTTTAAGCTGACTAGTGTTTCACTCGTGTGATGCATGTTGGCATGGACTGGGCCCGGGTTGGGATTGGGTGCGACTATGGTTGGACTCGGGCCGGGTCGGGCCCCGTCGGGCCGGCGGTTCTATATAGCTAGACCCGGGACCGGCCCGGGTAGCCACCGGGTCCGGTCCGGGCCTCGGGTTTGGTTTTTTTTTTTGCTTAGCTACCCATTCCTGACCCCCCCTCACCCCACCCCCCCAAACCCCTCCTAAACATCAAGCCCAACCCGGTGGAGCCCAAACAAATGAAAGAAAAACCAAAAAATAAATAAATTTGGCCCGAATCGGGCCTTGTTATGGGTGACCCGAGCCCGGACCGGAAACCCACCGGGTCGGGCCTACCCGGACCGGTCACTGACCGGGTCACCGGTTCGGGCCGGGCCGGAACAGTACCGGTTCCGGGTCGGGCCACCCGCCCCGAGTCCAACCCTAGGTGCGACTGGGAATTTGGGCTGAAGGCCCGGTACCCGGCCTGGGTTTGAACCAGGACGGGGTCAGGCTCAGGTCGGGTCAATATTTTTTTTAAAAAAAATAGTCTTTTCTAATTTATTCCTACCCCACTCCCCCACCCTCAACCCCCCCCCCCCCCCCCCCCCAAAACATCCAGCCCAAACCACCTAGCAACAACCCAATGCCAAAAAACTAAAAAAAAAAAAAATTGGCCTGAACTGGTCTCAGACCGGCCGGGCCGGTCTACTAAAATAAGGTCCCCAAGCCAAGTCTCGAAGCCCGCCCCATTTGACCCCCTGTTCAGGCCCCAATATCGGTCGTGGTACCACCTGTCGGGTCGGATCAGGCTTGCACAGTGGCGGCCGGGTCGACCCGTCCCAGTCCATCCCTAGATGCACGTGATAATAAAACAAAATTACCAGTGAAGTCGTCCATTTCCCCAGTTATATTAAGGAAAATAGACCTAAATAGGACCAGAACAAGTGACGGGTAAGTAAATAGGACTTGAAGTTTGTTAACTCGTGTGTAAGACTAATTTTTAGCTGGATGGACAAATATACCCTCATGTTTAAAATTGGATATCCAAGTCGTTTAATCATTTCCATCATTTGCAATGGAGCCAAAGATTCATTATTTTTTGGCTTGAGATTATATGGAATAAAGCAAAATGACCCACTAAACTGTATGCGCTTCTTTGTTATGAAGCAGCAATCAGTCATGCAATTTTGGACGCGATTTTCACTATGTGTCATCCGGAAACAGTCTCTATGTGCTTTAGTACATGGGTAAGAGTGCGTACATCCGACTCCCCTTACTCCACCGTAGATGAGAGCCTTTGCGGCACTGGGGTAAATGAAAATAAATATAAAAATAAATATCCAGGTCATTTAAAACCAAGAAAAATTAATCACCTAGGCTAAATCACATAATTGTAAACTAGTTTAAACTTCCACATCAGTATATATAGAGCTTGATGAAAAAATGGTCTTTTGAGAGGACCGCAACTTAAAGGACCCCAACACTTGCACAAGGGAAAGTCACTAATCTAAATTTCAAGGCAGAAAAATTAGAAGACAAAGTTTGTGACTTTACTAGAAACTGATTGAATATGAGGGGAAATGTTTCCTTATCACTCCTCCTGGTGCTAAACAATAGTTAAAAACATATTCCGATGGAGAGTTTTCTACTTCACTCTCCAAGCTATAAACGATGGCACTTGCAACTTCTATGGGCCGGGGGAGCATTTCTCGTTTCTCCTGACGCTGAACAGTGTCAAATACAAGACTACTCAAGGATGCACATTTTGAGGGGGAGTTTTCACGTTTCTCTTCCCAACGCCAAACAACCATAAATGCATATCCTATTGAGTGTTCCGGTTGAGGGGGAGTAATGAGAGATTAGTTTCAATGACACAGTCGAACCCAACTGAGTCTACCCAAGGGACAAAGTTAAACATGAGTGAACATTATGAGAGTGAGGATGCATAAAGCTCAAGTGAGAAATAAATAGTAAATCAATAACACCTACCTCCTCAACGGCGCTATCCACCGAAAGATAACACCTAAAGTCACTCAAAATACCTCAGACAACCCCCATAGGTAGAAGACTGATTTAATCGGATCCCAGATGGAAGTCGTCGCATGATGTGAGTTTTCTCGCACTTAAAATAAATTGTAATATAGTGGTGTAAGTACGAGTAACGTCTCCACAGGGACGAACAAAAGGGAATCAAGAATTAATTAAATTCAGCGATTAAAAATAAATAAAATAAATGCGTTGTACGAGATATGATTGGTTGCTGGAAAATTAAACTAATGCAGATTAACGAATAAAAATAAATTTGGGTTCTTCTTAATTAACGACGAAGGGAGCAAAGATTGATCCAGGGGTAACCAGATTTCTGACAGATCAGACCTAATTACATGAAATTAATTTAATTGAGCCTAGCTAATCATTAATAAGTTCTTACCGCTCTCGCGTCGTAGAGTACAATAATTTAGGGGACCAGGCTGATCTCTCATGTGACAGGATCCTAAATTATTGCCAAAACGAGCGAGCTTACGGCCCCTTAATCGCTACTAATCTCTTAGCGAACGATTAAGTGTGTGTGTGTGTGAATGTGTCCTAGAACAAATTAGATCTCTCTTAATTCATTCTACATGCAATTGTAATTCTAGATGCAGTCTAGGTTATAAGAGTTCAATTAAATTATTCATACACAAATTAAACGACATTCATGCAATTAAACCAACAAGAATCTAGCCATGCATCATGATTAACCCCTTCATCAACTCCAAATCCCTAATTAAATTACTCACAATTCATAATTGAAAAATCAATAGAATTGGGAAGAATAGAATTAATTGTGATTAATTAAAAATATGAACGAATAATCCTAGGGTTCTTGAAAAAAACAACGTAAAAACGCAAGTAAATTCGTCCTTAGGCCTCTCCGTAATGTTCGTAACCCTTAAAAAGGGGTATGGAGGCCTTATTTATAGAAAAGGGGGGAAAATCCAAATTTTGGCCGAACTAGGACAAATTTTCGCGTAACACGGGGGTAGGCACGATCATGCCTACTTTTCCAGTCACGATCGTGCCTGGTTTCCAGTAGCTCCACGCAAATTTCTCTATCACGCACGATCGTGCGTCCCTTCAAGCACGATCGTGCGTGGTCTGTTTTTCACTGTTTCTGTAGTCCGAATTTGACAAAACTTTCTTCATGAAAATTGTAGATAATGAAGTCCTCTATCCACCACAACTTGCTTAATTGGATTTGAATCATCCAATAAAGAGATATGAATAAAATGGTGGAAGGTCTCATTCTGAAATCGCAACAGGGATCATCTGACTTCATCATCTATTTTCACCTTCGTTCTCTCACATTCTCGCAATTGTGTCTTCATATGATTTGTATCCCTTGAAGTTGTCTTTCAGATTCAACTTGAATAGTGTCCTTTGGATGCTTCTACGAAGAGATATGCTTGAATGATTGAAAGAAGGTCATTTTGAATGTCGTTTTCAAGCTATATTT